TGTTCTATTGATCCTCATGTCTGTTTTTGTGCCAATACTGTGCTGTTTTGATTACTTTAGCTTTGTAGTATTGTGTGAAGTCTGAGAGGGTTATGCCTCCTGCTTCATTCTCCTTCCTTAGTATTTTCCTGACAATTCTGCGTCTTTTGTGATTACATATAAATTTTAGGATTATTTGTTCCAATTCTATGAAAATTTTGTTGTGTAATTTGATAGGGATCACACTGAATCTGTAAATGGCTTTGGGTAGTATGACCATTTTAGCAATATTAATTCTTCCAATCCGAGAACATGGGATAGCTTTCCATTTGTTTAAATGATCTTTAATTTACTTTATCAATGTTTTAAATACTTAGGAATAAACCTGACCAAGAAAATAGAAGTTTTTTTCAAATTTGACAACAGTTCAGAAAAATTTTACACAATAGGCTAATAATGTTATGAACTTGAATAACATTCCTTCATTAATGTGACTTTTGCTATGTTTTTCTCAATCCACAGCTTATCTGCTCATTCTCTTGACATTGTCTTTCAAAGAGCAGAAGTTTTTAATTTTAATCAAGTCCAGTTTATCAATTATTTTTTTCATGGATTGTGTCTTTGGTATTCTATGTAAAAAGTCACTGCCATACCATGGTCCAACAATGCTATACTGCTTCAGAAGTGGTGCAAATACCATATATTAAAAATATCCTAGTTCTTCCCCCTAGTACCTTGTATCATCGCTGCCATTCATTTCACTTATGCATAAGCATATATAGACAATCGAATACATTGTTGCTATTATTACGTTGTACAAACTATTATTGTTAGATCAGTTAAGAATTGCTTAACTATAAATTTACTTTTATTCATTCATTCTCTAAAATCTTGCTTTCTTTAAGTAAATCTGATATTCTGACCTCTATCATTTTTCGTCTCTCTGAAGAACTTTCAATACTTCCTGAAAAGCAGTTCTTAAGGCAACAAATTCTCACAACTTTTGTTTGTCTGAAGAAGTCTTTATATTTCATCTTGACTTTTGAATGATAATTTCACAGGGTGCAGAATTCTAGGTTGGTGGGTTTTTCTCTGAAATATTTCACTCTCCTCTCTTCTTACCTTCATGATTTCTGCATGTAATTATTATTTTTGTTCCTATACAGATTATGGTGTTTTTTTCATGACTTCTTTCAGGGTTTTTAAATTTGCTTTTTTGATTTTCTAAACTTCAAATAAGATTTATCTAAGTGTAAATGTTTGGCATTTATCTTGTTTGATATTCCCTGAGATTTCTGAATCTGTGGTTTGGTATCTGACATTAATTAGGGGAAATGTTCAGTCATTATTGTTTCATATATTTCTTCTGTTCCTTTCTCTCTTTCTTCCTCTTTTATTTTCAATATGCATATTTTCCACCTTTTATAGTTTTTCCACAGTTTTTAGATGTTCTGCTCTGGTTTGGTTTTTTTTTCAGTGTTTTTTTCTTCTTTAGTTTTAGTTTTGGAAATCCCTACTATTATATTCTCAAGCCTAGAAATTCTTTCCTCAACTGTGTCCAGTCTCTTCATGGGCCCATCAAAAGCATTGTTAATTTTGTTATAGTGTTTATGATCTATAGCATTTCTTTTTGATTCTTTCTTAGAATTTCCATCTCTGTATACAATATCCATCCATTCTTGCATGTTGTGTAGTTTTTCTGTTAACACTCTTTATCCTATTAATCATATTTGAAAAAAATTTCTCATTTCGTAATTCCTACCTTCCTGCTACCTATGACTGATTCTGATGCTTGTTCAATCTCTTTAGACTGCTTCTTACCTTTCAGTATGCCTTCAGTGTTTTGTTGAAAGGTGGACATGATGAGCTGAGTAAAAGGACTTGCAGTAGCAAGCCTTTAGTACCGTAGTTGAAAGGTGTGGAGGGAGGAGGCGGGATCTGTAAGATCTCAGTCTTCTGTTGAGCTTCTGCCCTGGACTGTGAACTTCACCAGTACTTCTCAGTGTTTCCCCTCCTTTAATTGAACAGGAAGACTAGAGGGGGCCAGAGTAGGGTATTTCCCTGCCCCCAGGTCACTTAGGTTCTGGTAAGAGAATTTTTCCTGAGGGCAACCTTGGTTAAGAAAAGCAAAATGTTGGAGCTTATTTCAAAATGATTCCTTTTTTCCTCCTCCTGCTGGAAGTGTGAGGAGGTTTTTCTCTGATATTCGCCATGGGGACTTGGTACAGCTCCTGGAGTTATAACCCACACGAGTATGGGGGTACCCCGCCTCCACTGTAGGACTGGATCCCCTTGAGGTTTTAAATGTCAGAGTTTTTTTTTTTCACACTGAGCTTCTGGCAATTTGCCACCTACAGTTGAGGTGTTCCTACCCTGGCACTGGTTTCCTGGATGTTTCTGCTCTGATAAACTTTTATTCTCTGTATCCATCTGTCTCCCTTGCCAATTTTAAGGGCACCGGTTTGTCCCGTGACCTCACTTCTCTCACAAATCTAAAAAGACTTGTTGATTTTTCAGTTTGTTTAGATATTTACTTGTTGATGGGATGGAGTTGTGAGTTCTAAGCTCCTTACATGTTGGAGGAAAGTGGAAGTCTCCTGCTGAAAGTTTTTAAGCAAGAGAAGAATATTATGATTTGTATTTTAAGAAGCTCACCTTAGTGGTGTGTAGGAGAGATTAGCAGGTAGGAGATGGAGTAGTTCACAACTACCAGCATGCCCTGGGATACACACACCTGTGCAGGCGAAAAGAATTTGACTTTATTAGGAGTTCTACTCAATATCTTCTTTAGCTTATGAGATGTTCCTTCACATTTTATTTATGGTGATGAGGGTCACCATTCTGCCATCGTTGTGGCTGTGTAGTATTACCTGTCATATTACATTTACCTTCAGAATACTTGCTGTTTTCTAATGTAAGGCATTTATACATTTAAGACCTCATGTATTCATCCTCCTCAGATGTATTTGGTGTTTTTTGTTTGTTTGTTTGTTTTGGTCTTTACTGCTCCTTAGGGGCCTTTATTTATTTACTTTGTATTAAAGATTGAAATTCAAAAACATTAAATATCTTTTTTTCCCAAAACTTAGTCTCACATGTAGCATGTATAATGGGTGTAATGATCATAAGAACAGGGAAGCTGTAGTAATGTGTTTCTCAACCCTTTCGGCCTGATGTCCACTTTTCATAGTAAATATTATCTAGTGTTCTAATATTCTGAAACAAAATACATAGGTATATAATCATCTGTATCTGCCTATAATTTTTTAAAAATGCATACAACTCAAGCATAACATAGAGGAAAAATTAAAATTTTGCGAACTACAATAAAATAATACATCCTTTACAATGTAAATAGCTAGGAATGACTGCACTAGAAGTCAATTTAAGATAAGAGTGAAATGAATATTTTTCCATTTTCATTAGTGTGTAAATTTTAAAAATAAATATGGGGACGGAGGGGTGGGAAGGGGCTGGGATTTCAAAATGTAGAATAGATAAACAAGATCGTACTGTGTAGCACAGGGAGATATATACAGGAACTTGTGGTGGCTCACAGCGAAAGAGAATGTGACAATGAATGTGTGTATGTTCATGTATGAATGAGAAATTGTGCTCTACACTGGAATTTGATACAACATTGTAAAATGACTATAACTCAATAAAAAAAAGTTCATAAAAAATAAAATAACTAAAGTATAAAACTTTTAAAAAAAATGGAAACATAAAGCATTAAAGGAAGTCAAAATATTTTGATGAACAAGTTTCAATAATTCAATTTATAACAGTTATAACAAACCTACTACATTTTTTACAATGCCAGCACTTAGTTTTTTTAAACACAGACATTTCTTATTGAAGACAACTACATGGTGTCTATCATTTTATCACACAGAAATTCCATCCACTCACTATACTTTTCTAATGAATTCTACATGCAGATGCACATTTTTAATGTTGTTGGTACTATTCCTGTATGTTTGCTATTAAAATACACTAAACTTAAAAAAAAAAAACCTTAGCTAATTCCAAGTATCTCAAAGTGACGCTATTTGTGTTAAAATACCACTAAATCCCACTAAAATGGATAGTTATTTCAGTAATACTAGTAATTGTAATATAGCCTAACAAAAATTTTTCCCTTGTTAATTATTCTTTAACAGCTATTTTCATTAGTGTGGGTTCCTGGAAGATGATTGGGAATTTTGTGAGTTTGTGTGTGGGTTGTCACAGTGACAGAGGGATGCTGTTGGGCCAGTTGTCCTGGTGCCGAAGTTCAGTAGATCCCCTAGATGTCAGCCCTCATCCTAACCCCTGTCTGGAGGGCTTGATGCTTTTAACTCCTGATATTTTCAGAGACCTGGAGGACAAGCTCTCTACTGCAAGCATTTTAATTTGTAGCTTACTTTCTTTTGTCAAATCAGCTACCACTTGTCTGTCTGACTTCTAAACATTTATTGAAATCACTGATCCTCTGATGTTTTCCCTCTCATCTCTCTTTCATAGTGGATCTCTGCCCTTTTTTTCCCTTTGCTGTCAATTCTGTGGTTTCAGAGGAAGGAGAGGTCACCAAGTGATCCATCTGCTATGCTTAACAGTGGGAGATAATATCGCCTTGTAGAAGTTGTGGAAAATGTTTTAGGTGGCTTCAGTTGTTACATAGACTGGCTGGTGTACTGGCAGTGCCCGATTAGGGCTAGATCTGCTAAACACACTGCCAAGTTTGAGCCCATCCGAAATGCCAGTGGTACTCAAAGAGTTATCAGTTCATCCCAGTCTTGGATTAACTCAGTATAAACACTATGTTTAAACACTAACATTTCCTATAGCTATGAGTAATGTATAATCTTATTCATGACTACTTCTAAAGCTGAGCTTTTTGAAAGTAATTTGCATTCAGAAATAAAAGTAAAAACAGCATCATGGCTCCTTATTAAAATTTTGGAAGAGCACAGTGGTTAAATTGTTTTCTTACTCTGTAGTATTCAGCTTTGCTACATGCTTTTTCTTTATATTAACAGATATTTTGGTAAAAGGGCTCAATGGGATTGTAGAGGGGCATCAAATCTTAATGAACTTCATCAGCGATTAAGTGACATAATGATTAGAAGATTAAAGACTGAAGTTTTAACCCAGCTGCCCCCTAAAATCAGACAGCGTATTCCATTTGATCTTCCATCAGCAGCAGCCAAGGTGAGAACCTGTGTTTGACTGAAAGTCTTACTTGAAATCATTTTAAATTATACTTTGAAAAATTATGCATATCTCATATTTCACAGATGGAAAAGTCCACTTTCTTAAAATAGGTTTAATTAATAGAGGCATGTGAATTGGCTTTGTATCATTTGAAGAAGAGAGCAGGAAGAATTTAAATGTAGTTATCAAATAATGTGAAAAGATTTAGTATCTTGGTCATTAAAATATATATTTCTGCAGAATAGAGGAAAAGAAGCACTTCACTTGCAACATAGACTTAGTATTAAGAATTCTAAGTATTTGTAGGTTGTGAAACCCAATAATTAGCAAGAAGAGTTGTGTTTGTTGCTCTAGGATTTATTTTTTAGGTATGAGTAGCTGTCTTCTAGAATAATTTAGATGTAGCCCCCTGTTCTTGGAATCTTAAAAATCTGTGATCATGTTGTAAGATGTGGAGTTCAACATATTAGAAAACCAAAGTGTGTTTTACCTAATCCTTATCTACATTTACTTTTGGGGAGTAGGATGCTTATATATTCTTTGAATTTCTTCAAATCTGAACATAACTTGGTCGACAAAGACTATTTATTGCCTTGTTTTATCTTGAAAGTGTAGAGTAAGCATTTTATGAACACTGTGCAAAATATTGGTAAAGTAAGTAAGAATGATCTGATTTTCTGTTTCCACCATTTTAACATTACAAAAAGAAGAGCCAATATATGATTATATTACATTTTTCAACTAATATTCCCTAAGTCTTTATGCTTATTTAAATAAAGTCATACCTTTTAGTAAAATGTTTTGCTACTGTATACATTTTCACTACCATGCTCTCTTTAAGTTTTTGGTTTTACTTTATATTTTATTTTATTTAAAATGTTTCTTAAATTTTTATTTTTACTTTACAAAATGTTGCTCTGTAAGAGAAAGCTGTAATTGTTTAATTTATGGTGTGGGTTAGGGGCTTGGTTTTCACTCACAACTTGTCATTGGTTTTGGTCATTAGCACAAAATGTGACTGACCTATCTTCACAGTGATGTTTTAAAATGAGCACATTGGCAACTTTGGAAATTTTCTTTATATGTATACACACACACACACACACACACGTTTCTATATATAAAAAGAAGGTAAGTAAAACATGATTCATTATTGTATTAATTGCTCTCTTCTTTATGCTGAATTTCTTTTTTTCTTTTATTGAGTTGTAGTCAGTGTACAATGTTGTATCAGTTTGTTTTCCTAAACATTGCTATTTTCTTCTACATAGGAATTGAATTCCAGCTTTGAAGAGTGGGAAAAATTAATGAGAGCTCCAAGTTCAGGTGGCACCGAGACTGTCATGGGGTTGATTACTCGCATGTTTAAACAAACTGCTATTGCCAAGGTACTTATTGCTGGGCCATCATTTGTTTGTCTTGATACAAATTATTTAATGTATTTAATTTTTTAATTAAGCAGCTTATTTGCATACTGCATACATACAATATCTTTGCCATTTAATTTTTTAACTCTTTATTACAGAAAAATTCAGGCACATTCAAAGTAAACAGTAGTATAATGTGCAGCATTATTCCTGTTCTGTTCATACAGTGATCCTTTTCTGTGTATGGCTATAGTTTGATAAGGGAGTATATTTTACACTTTCTCATTTAAAGGACTTACATATATTCATCTTTGTTGTCAGCTTTTTCCATGGCTTTACTACATAATTGCTACAAATAATCTTTTTTTTATGGAAGTCAATCATTTTTAATTGATATTACATTGTTAGATCCCTACAGAGATACATGTGCTTATGTTCTTTTTGTCCAAAAGTACAAATCAGGGGGTTTTTAAATCTCAGTGTGTATCAAGTAAACTTACTACACATTGTTTGTTGTTTTTACCAGCATGGTTGAACTTATACATACTAATGAGTGTCATCCTTCTCCCAGTTCTGAGATTTTTTTATAGCATAATTTTTTAAAGAGAGGTTTATTTAAATATAATTTATATACAGTGAAATTTGTCCTTTGAAAATATATAGTGTGATGAGGCTTGACAAATATAGTTAGTCACCAGTACAATCAAGATAAAGAAAATTCCCATTACCTCCAAAAGTTCCCTCGTGCACCTTGGTTATTTCCCTCACACCTACCCTCTAGACTTCGTCAGTCACAGATCTGCTTTCTGTCGCTATAATTTTGCATTTTTCAGAATGTCACAAAAATGTAGTCCTATAGTACGTAGCATTGTGTCTGACTTATTTCACTTTGCATAAAGCTTTTGAATATTGATCCATGTTTTTGCATATGACGTTAGCATTTTCATTTTTATTGCTGAATGATATTCAAATACATGGGTATATAAATATTTGTATATCTATATTTATATGACAATTAAATTTCTTTACCAGCTAATGGCCATTTGGGGTAGTCTCAGATCGGGCTATTATGAATAAGCCTGTTATAATCATTCATGTACAAGTCTTTGTATGGACATATTTTCATCTCTTTTAAGTAAATTGATGGAACTGGAACTGCTGGGTCATATGGGAAGTGTAGATTTAACTTTATAAAAAGCCACCAAGTTGTTTTTCAAAGTGCTATACCATTTTGGGGGAGAGTATAGCTCAAGTGGTAGAGTACATGCTTAGCATGCATAAGGACCTGAGTTCAATCCCCAGTACCTCCTCTAAATATAGATAAACCTAATTACCACACCCCCCAAAAAAACCAAAAACAAAGACAAAAAAACAGCAAAGTGTTGGCATTCCCACTGGCAACATATGAGGGTTCCAGTTGTCCTACATCTTTGTCAGCACTTGGTATTGTCAGTCTTTTTAATTTTAGTTATACTTCTCGGTAAGCAGTGGTATCTAGTTATTATTTTAATTTGCCTCTTCTTAATGACTAATGATATTGAGCATATTTTCATGTGCTTTTTAGCCATTCATTTTCTTTTGAAAAGTGCTTGTTCATATCAAGCCCATATTTATCTTGGGTTGTAAGAGCCCCTTGATATATTTAGAAACAAGTTCTCTAACGTATATGCCATTTGCAAATATTACTTCCAAGTCTCTGGCTCCCATTTTTATATTCTTGACATTGTGGGTTGTTGGATTTTTCCCCCCCTTAACAGAGGCACTGGGGATTGAACCCAGGACCTCATGCACGCCAAGAACTCACTCTACCCCCCAACCCCAACATTATGTTTTTACAGGACAGAAATTTTAAGTTTTGAAACAGTCCACTTTATCAGGTTTTTAATTTTATGTTTTGCGGTTGTTGAGTCCTAATTATTTTTTGCTTAATCCATGTTCATAAAGATTTTCTCCAGTGTTTTTTCCAGAAGTGCTATAGCCTTAATTTATAAATGTAGGTCAGTGAGCTTTTTTGAGATAATTGTTTTATGTGTTACAGAGTAAGAGTGGAGGTTCAGTTTGGTTTTTGTTTTGTTTTGTTTGCATATGGATTTTTAATTGTTTTAGCACTCTTTGTTGAGAAGACAATTTTCCCCTTATCAAGTTATCTTGGCAGTTTCATAAAAAATCAATTGGTTATATATGTGTAGATTGTTTCTGAACTCTATTCTATTTCATTGAGCTATACATCTGACCTCACAGAATACTATAGTTGCTTGATTACTCTACCTTTGTAAGTCTTAAAATCACATAGTGTTTGCCTTTACTTAATTCTGTTTTAAAATTTTGTGTACTGTAGTTCTTTTGCTTTTCTTTATGAGTTTTAGAATTAGCTTCTTAAGTATATACAATTTTGATTGGACTTGTTTTGAATCTGTAGATTAATTTGGAAGAATTGACTTATTTTAATTGAGATATAATTGACATACAATATTATATTGGTTTCAGGTCTATAACATAATAATTCAATTTTTATATATATTGCAAAATGATCACCACAGTAAGCCCATTTAACATTCATCACCATATATAGTTACAAAAATGTTTTTCTTGTGATGAGAACTCTAAATATCCATTCTTTCAGCAACTTTCAAACATGCAATACAGTATTATTAACTATAGACACCATGCTGTACATTACATCCCATGACACATTTACTTCATAACTGGAAGTTTGTACCTTTTGACCTCTTTTACATGTTTCACCAACCCTCTACCCCTTGTCTCCATAAACCATCAGGCTGTCTTTTGTATTTGTGAGCTTTGGGGATTTGTTTGTTTTTTAAGATTCCACATATAAATGAGATCATACAGTTTTTGCCTTTCTCTATCTGACTTATTTAGCATAATGCCCTCAAGGTTCATCCATGTTGTTACAAATGGCAAGATTTCCTCCTTTTTATGTGTCAGTGATACTCGTGTGTGTGTGTGTGTGTGTGTGTGTGTGTCACATTTTCTTTATTCAACCATCGATGGACACTTAGGTTCTCTTGGCTGTTGTATAATGCTGCAGTCAATATGGTAGTGCATATATCTTTTCCCTTTAGTGTTTTGTTTTCTTTGGATAAATACCTGGAAGTGAAATTATATGGTGGTTCTCTCTCTTAATTTTTGAGGAACCTCCATACTGTTCTCCATAGTGACTGCACCAATTTTTATTCCCACCAGCAGTGCACAGGGGATCCTTTTCTGCACATTCTTGCCAATATTTGTTATTTCTTGTCATTTTGATAATAGCCATTCTAACAGATAGGTGGTATTGAGAACTGACTTCTTAATACTGTTGAATCTCCTGATCCATGAGAAGAGTATCTCTTTTACTTAAGTCTTCTTTAATTTCCCCCAGCAATGTTATCTTGAATACATTTTGTTAGATTTATTTCTAAGTATTCATGTCTTTTTATGCTCTTGTAAATAGTATTTAAATTTCTACTTTTTCATTGCTAAGTATAGAATTATTATTGATTTTTGTATATTGACCTTTTATCTTGTAACCTTGCTGCACTCTTATTAGTTCCTGTGACTTTTTTGTAAATTCTTTGAGATTTTCTACATAGACATCATTTTGTCTACACATAAAGCACTTTTATTTCTTCCCTGTAATCTGTATGCCTTTAATTTATATTTATTTATTGCCCATCACATTGAAGGAACACAAGTATAAGTTTGGTAGGACTGGACAAACTTGCCTTGTTGCCAGTTGTAGACAGAGAACATTCAGTCTTTTACCATTAATTATAATGTTATCTTTAAGATTTTTATAGATGACCTTTCATAGGTTGAGAAAAATTCCTTCTTTTCCTAGTTTGTTGTGAGGAGAGATGAGATGTGGATTTGTTTCCTTTGGCAGATAAGTGTTAGGAAGCAGGTAGAAGCAGATAAGAAGAAAGCAGATAAGAAGAAAACAGCTAAAATTTAACAAAATTAAAAAGACTGAGCATAGGCTGTCACGACAGTTCACAATAATATGGGATTCTGACCCAGGGAGCCCATACTCATTCAAAAGCTTTATTTCCATTGGCCTCTGTCAGATACTGACTAGGAGATCAGAGAGCACCCCCATTGGTGGAGTTCAAGCATGATACCCTGAGTACTTCTAGGACCCTCTTCTCACACTGATCAAAAGCCTTGTGCTACTGTAGGAGAAGCAAAGTCCCCCTCCCCCAGTCTGCAAAGCCCAGTCCAGGATCAGCTGCTTTTGGGGTTTCAGTAGAAATAAAATGAAACCCTGAGGGGATGAAACCCTATTGAAATCAGGACCTTATATAGGACAGAAATCTGTTACTGATGGAGGAATCTCTCTCTTGCCCAGGATCACCCACGGTTACATGACATAGTTTGGTTGCCTTAGGGTAGAGGGGCAGAAACACCAGGAAAGCCTCATCTCTAAGACTCAGCTGAAGCAAAGGGCCTGCCTTATATTGACATGCTACCTGAAGAACAAAGAAATCTTCTGCCCCCTACCATGAACTTAACACTGAGAAACCATCAGGATTAATCTACTACTGGGGGAGAGACATCCTGCTATAGTGCAGGCGTGCAAGAACTGCCAAAAGCTGAGAGTGCAGCTAGAAGAATTCTTAGCACACACTTTCATGAGAGAGAAGCGTCCCGTTGTTGAGGGAATCCCAGTTTGTGGTGCACTAAAGGTAAATGTAACAACCTAAATACAGCTCAATACTGATAAGATTGTCTCAGTCCCTCCCATACTATCACCCTGATAGGAAAAAAAAGTATGCCCTTTTCTGGGTGTAAGTATCATTTATCTCACTCTATCCTGTTCTATACAAAATTTCTAGCATTAATGGAAATTATGAACTAATAAAAGCAATTAAAAAAAACTCATCCATTATCAAAGATAAAGCCAGATGGAAAAATAACTCAGATTGTAGAACTATTAGACAAGGACTTTGAGAAAGCTAGGAATAGTATGTTAAAGGAGCTAGAAGAAAAGATAAACAACATAAATGAAAAGATGGAAA